CTTGATAAATATAAGATAAAGCAATGTATGTCGAAGCAATTTAGGATAGCAGTCAGGACTAAATATATCTCGACGCCTTGGGCAATTGTCTGTCCGGGTTTTATGTTAATTTGGCCTTGAACTTCGCCGAGCGTCGCTCGAAGTGACATATGAATTGGAGTTGCCAAAGTTGCGTGTCACGAAGTGACAAATGTATTGTATAATTATTGTGCATCCAATTGCAATTAATCGCGCATGCATATTCTAAATTAAATTTAGGCAAGTATTAAAATGAAAACGTATAAAAAAATGTGACAGATCTCGAAGATTTATATGACAAGTGAAAAGAGAGTAATTTCTCAATGATAACAAAGACGATGCAATTAAGCGCACTGCTATGCCTGCAATAAATTGATGATAAATGTATTTTGTCTAATAAGAGTTTGATTAATGTTCGAAGAACAGGATAAAGTTTCGCGCTCGTGCCGCGCTCAGTTTATCATGTCTCTTCTGGAACGAGAGAGTGGCCGCGACATGGGCCGAAATTAACAATGCGCGGGTTATTAAGCGAAGAGGACTTTGATGTACAACGTCGTGTCTTTTATGAAAACGTTGGAGAAAGTCAGTAAAATGTTTTCCTCGTCTAGGTCGCGCGGTGGAAACACAACGGAGCACAGCGGAGGTTAAAATTTGATGCAACCTCGCCTAGGTTACACGTGGGAAGCCGCGCTCGGAAACAAAAGCGACGTGACGTAAGCAATTGCGAGCGCGTGCCGTTCCGACCTCGCGTTCTCCACCGCGGAGATGCATTGTATCATGATAATGAAAGTGAATTGTAATAATTCTGCAACAGTTCTCGCAAAGCGACTCTGAGAAACGTGTAAAAACAGTGAGAGATCCGTTCCTAAGCGGGACCCGTTGTCGAAATCGTGTCGTTTCCCAAATTTCGCGAGCGTCGTTATTAATTATCGTCGAAATAAAAATTCAAGCCGCCGGAAAAGACGATGGCTTTTACTTCTGCCATCAAAATGTACTGCTGCTTGCAAAATGCATTTCGCACAATGCGAGACTCACGTCGTGAATTCGACGCTTTCCCCGAAGAACGTCTCATGTCTCGCAATACGCTAACTAGTATTTAGATGTAAATGTACGCTCATTTGCATATTAGACCCGTAACCTTTTCTCTTTTCGCGGACACTAGACGTCTCGATACAGTTTCTTCCCGCGAGATATCTATCTTTCGCTTGAAATAGCGTGAGTATTCGTAATTTGCTTCGGACGATTGTATATAATATTATATATATTAGCCGGCAGGAGCAACGCGCTATTAGCGTGAGTACGCATATCCCGTTTCTTGAAACATCGCTCCCTGAAAGAATAATAAATGCTTCTCTTGCTTTTTCTCTTGCGTAGCGCGAGCTTCGAATTTCATCAGGAGATACGCCCCGCGATAATGCCGCTAAGCAGCGGCATGTAAACCGAGACTTTCGTAATGCAAGATCGCGCGCGGTGCATCGCGGTATTCGCCGCTCGCGCCCTTTTGCCGGCGACTGGATCGCTCCGACTGGCAAGTTCCAAGTGTCGCTGCCGCGACGCGGGAGAATGTGCTCGTTGTTTTTCTCCGTCCTTCTCCGACCGCCCTCGCCAACGTTTCGAAACAGAAGAGACAAAGAGCCCGAAGTCGCGGAACAATGAGACCTGATATCGCTCGGTTGAACTAAGCACACTACCTCTCCATTCCTCGGCGTTTTCACGCCGACATCGCCGACGTCGCCTCGCGTTATTGTGCGGAAGACGCTTACCTAAAGGCGTACAATTATCGTCCCTGAAAAACTCGCTCGCCAGACGGGGTCCCTTTTTCCCTACTTTGTGGAATCAACGTGTTAGCGCGCTCGCGCTCCGAAATGTAATTAATCCTCGACGCGCTCAACCGCTGAAGATGAATGCCGCGCGTGTTTACGCGTGAATTTCATTCCTTTTCTTGTAGCGCTATGACGGATGAAATTTCGCTTTTATTCGCGCGACGGAAAAACGCGCGACGTAACGCAGATCCCGGGATCGTCGCATGAATTCGCGCGTTTCAGATTCCCATTTTCTCGCCACTTATCGTTAAGACAAACGACAAAATTTTCACGGTGTGGACACGTCGCGGAAATTACCAAAATTCCAACGGATTGTACAAGAGCGCCTTAATTGTTCGAAATGCGTGTGTACTCGTTATGCGAAAGCGAGACAATTTCGCGGCTACATCGCAACCAACATTTTCGGAGGGGGACGATTAATTTTGCAAGCGGCCACGCCCGAGCGCGCTCGCGATTTTTGCGCTTTCGTTACGAATGGAAATTTTTGTTTAATTTGACCACGAGCCACGCCTGAAAAAATAGCGCCGATAACGGCCATATCAGCAACCGTGGCGGCAATTGTCAGTCGCAACCGGAGCCGCGAAACTGTTGTCCGTCTCCGGCGAAATATTTTTCTCCCGTTCCACCGTCGCTCTTTTCCCGGCTTTTACGTGCCGCCACCCCTCCGTTACACGCCGATAGGAAGTCGCCGAGTCGCACATTACTCGCGGCACTCGCGAAACGGCTATTTACGGCGAAACATCCACCGCTTCGGTTTTAATGATCTGCAGTGAAAGAACGCAATTCTTTTCTACGTGGAAAGTCTAATTGTTGCATTCATAACACAGACTTCTTTCTCTTAAACTGCGCTCTTAGACATCAGTTTCCCAACACTCGTGCTCTTTCCTGCTGGATACAATGTCGCTAATATCTAGACGTAAGTTTCAAATGTCCGAAGAAGGCAAGAACAATCTTTGCCATTATCTTTAAATCTAATGATCCAAAGAAGTGTTTAATTAATTATTCATTTAATATCTCTCCATCATACTTTTCTTCTTAATCATATCGCTTTCGCAATTAATCTCGCAAATAATGATCGATTTAATGGAAAACCGAGACTTATGATCCGCTTAAAAATTTCCCTCGGAAAGTAGTTAGCTTAATCAGAAATAGACAATTACGTGCAATTACACCGGGAACGGTAATTTCTCCTTTCGACCCACGCAATGCTCTCTTTACGAGGTAACGCGTTCAGCGCTAGCGAGAGTCAACACGAGCGAAAAAACCGAAATCGGTGGCGCGGAAACAACGGTCATTGTCAGACTGGAGTAAGAGACAGCCGGCTGTCGCTTTCATGCGTCCGTTATCTTAATATTTCGCGCGAAAGCCAATGAAACTTAAACGACTCGCAGACTCGACTGTGTTTCGTGTCCTTTATAAGAGATAGCAGGCTAACTTCGTTCCTTTACGCACGCCACTTGCGGCGCCTTTCCCCGATAAAGCGAGCAGATGCGTTAAATCTTATGCGTTCGGAGTAATTAGTATTTGCTCATTCAGACTTTACGCGGACTTAGTTTTACGTCGCTCTCGTTTAAACGCATGGGCCATAAAGATTAGAGAAGATAAGTTCCAATAAATTCTACACTGGAAAAAAAGTTTTGTTGTATTATAAGAAATTCTGGTTGATTCTACTAGTACGTTTGTTCAAAAATGGACGAAACAAATTTGTTGTTGAAATTACCAGAAGATTCTGTTAAATTTCATCCTGTTTAAATCTATCAGAATTTCTTGTAAACCTTACTACATCGTGTTGTTAGATTTACAAAACTCTACCAGAATTTCTTGTAAACCTTACTACATTGTGTTGTTAGATTTACAAAACTCTACCAGAATTTCTTGTTAACTTTACTATATCGTTTTGTTAGGTTAACACAACTTTGTAGTTAAAAAACAAGTTCGGATAGGTGTGGTTTTTGTAAAATACTAACAATATATTTTGGTTTAAAGTATACTCAGTGATGTGATGTTTCCTACCGGGCTCCCGGCTCCCGAGCCCGGTAGGAAACATTACATCACTGGTATACATATATTTCATTAAAAAAAAAACACCACGTGATCATAAAACTTTTCGGATGTAAGGCTGATGGAAGAGACCGAGACGTAAAAACTTATGTATGTCGTAGTCGTTTCCACACGGATCCAATAACCTTTCACGACTTACGTTTTTCTCTGCCTTACCATACGTCCACGACAGACGTCTACGACAGACATAAGTGCTTACTTCTCGTTCTCTGCCATCGGCCTAACTAATATTCCGTAATAGATTCTACGACGCGACGTAAAACTTTAGCGAGCTCAGTTGAGACTGTTCCGACTACTTAACGCCATTGCTTCGCGAAAGATCTAATGCGCGCGATACACGCCGCGAGTAGCGAGGGCGCAGTAGCAGTGTAACAAATGAATGCGGCGAACAGTTGATCAACCGTTTAGTGAGTGATAACAAAACTGTTGCAGAGCGCTGCGATTTATGTAAATATAACAAGAAGTTTTGTAGATCCAACAAGAAAACTTATTCAAATCCTTATAGTAAAGTTAACCAAACGGTATTGATATAAGGTGTAAAATTTTGTGACAATAACCAGAAATTCTGTTTCGTTCGACTAAAATACGGTCAACCAGAAGAATTTTGTTAATATAATAAAACCATTTTTCTCAGTGTATAATTTCCGCAAAATTATGCAGATTAAGCACGAGTCGTGCTCCGCGAAATCGTATTCTCACGTACTCCAATTAATATTAAAAATAAAAAAAAAAGTCAATTACACTTCTCGAGAGAATTACAATATTAATTACTTTCATTAAAGCAGGATGTAGAGATGGATATTTCGGTAATGGCACTCATCGCTCGTACTACTTTTCCCCGAGTATCCTCAATCAAGTCGAGTCCGATCATTTTCGAGATCTCGAAGCGTATCGGCTCGTCTCGACGCTCTCCGCTTGTCTGGGAACGAGTCACGCGGTCGGCCGAGAGCGTACGTACAACAGCGGGCGCTATCTTTCTTCCTTCCCACCACGGCGAAAGGCGACCGCCACCGGCAGGCAAAAGCAAAAGTCAACGTACGTACGCTCGGTTCCGCTCCGCGGCGGCGAGGATACCACTGACAGTGTGCCATCGAAAGGAGTCAGTTTCCGCGTAGTCTTTTGGCGCATCGGTCACGCCAGGTGTTTTGTCCTCCACCTGTCCGCTCTCTTCGCGTGTCTACCTTAGTGAATATACGTGAACGCGCGGCGAGTTCGAATAGAGAGATGCGCCCGCCGCTCCGCGATGCTCATCGCGCCCAAGTCGCGCTGCTTTCGCTGGGTGAGTACGAGATTCGTGCCGCAAGTTCGCGGCGCAATCCGGACGGATTAGTTGTAGGAAGTTGTACGCGAGTCAATCGGCGAATTTACGCTTCGAAAGACATCGGTTTTGGCAATCCTAGAGACGCGACGCGAACGTCTGGCCGTCGACGCGCGAATCTAACTATCATCGTGAGAAGAAAGGATGCGGATATGGCAATTGCTCAATCGACGTAACGTTTGATATTGTATATAATATGGCGAAAATGTAATCTATGTCGATCGTCCGAACCTCTGAACAAACGGACATTTAAAAATTAAAACAGTTATTTAGCGCCGGTAAAGAGATAAAAGTTGCTTAACCCTTTCATTTCCAAATTGTTTAATAGCGATAACAAAATATTTGTTCGTATTCTCGTGCACATTCATCAAAAAATTGTAAATCTATTTAAAATGTTTCAAGGAAATTATTATTTTTAAATATTAATTGTATTTAAAATAACTCTTGTCGTCGAATTGTGACGGCCAAAAATAAAAGATGATATTCTAATATTTCGTTGCAAAATTTGTAAATATAACGCAAGACTAGAAACAACCAGTGCACATTCACAGATATGAAAATATAGATGTCTATATTTTATTTCATAATTTGAAATAAAGCAGCCGTACGACTGCAGTGGGAACGAAAGGATTAAAATTGAGCGCAATGTATAAAATTGATATGAATTAATAATATTTATTAATGCAATAATAATGAGAAATCAGAGAGAAGCCGTTCGAATGTCAAAGCCGGAAAGCGGTTTCGGCCGGCTTTCGCATCGTCATTATAGCGATCGTGAGATACATTCTCGATGCGGAATGTATGCTCGCTCGGTGTAAAGCGCACATCCCATAGCGCGGTGTAAACACGGGTTTCCCCGACACGTGCCCGAGCTCCCCGGGGAATATCTCGCAAATCGAGGGTGACTGGTTAGTAGCAACTATGATATTCTATATATACATCCGTTTCCGCAGCCCGCAAACCCGTCGGAATCGTATCTCCGGTTGATGTTAGGCATCGTCCTCGCCGTCGACAACAGAGACGGCGGAGAGTCGGCAGAGTCGGAACACCATGGGGAAATCAAGCGTTCTCCGCTTTTATTTGCATAAAATGATGAGACTGACCATGTCACGTTCGAAACGCCGGCTCCGCTGATTTTCCCTGCGAATTTCATTATTCTCCGAAGCGGCACCTTCCGCGCGCCACCCGTCCGCACTTCGATTTCGCGGAAACAACAAGCAACGGCGATCATTAAGCCGCAAATGGAAATGCAAATGCGTGAGCGCGTGCAAAGAAATTTCCCGCGCGAATCTTTTCTCTCGGCGTGCCGCGCGAGATTGAGCGGAATCGCAAATGAGAAAAACCGAATTGAAACGCGGAATATAATTGCGAAAGGATGTCACGTGCACGCGCAAGATCTTCCCATCGTAAATCTTTTGTCTTAATGTACCGCGTTAACTAGAATTGTTCGCGTAAATGTGAAAATTATACTCGCGAGTTTGTTGAAAATAAAGAGAGAAGCTTTGGAAAGCAGAGAGTTTCGCTTGGAAGACCCGAAAACTTGCAGTTTCGCGGACACAAAGTGCAACATGTCCGTGCACTCGAACAATGTCAAGGCAAGTGTCTTTTCGCTCGCCGTTTACGAAATCACGCACGAATTCGCCGCTCTCGTTTACGAAATCATTTCGCACGAATTCGCCGCTCTCGTTTTTTCGCTCCACAAGCAACGTATCACACAATCCAGGATGGTTGAAATAGTGTCACATCGCGCCGCGAAATGGGATTATATCGAATTCTGCGGTAAAGCTCGACAGTACAAACTAATTCGCCGTCCGGATATTTTTAATTCGCGCGCGAAGGTGCGCGAGAATGGAAGTGAAAAAAAAAATCGTTTTTACCAGCGATTGTAACGGCCGAGTCTGCAGCCGTACGTTCGCCTGTACAAACATTATTGGACCGATGACTCGGAATCCCCAGCCGTCACTATCATCCGAGCGGCACTTAATCTCGGCAAATATAGTCGGAATTCCGCAGTATTGTTGCGCGTACGACGAGCAGATTTGAATATTACCGTTGCGCGCGCGTCGTACTAATCGCTCTGTCGTTCGGCTATACTGCGATTAATTATCGGCTGAGCGCGTAATCCGGCTCGCGCACGAGTGAAACTTGGGACAAAATCAATTTTCGAATTGAAATCCTTTCTGCTAGAAGCGTTATCCGGTAATCGTCGGCGTGTCATATTTTCGTTTGGACGATCGGAAACGTCATTGTGCAAATCCCGCAAAATGTTATCGCTACGCGGGCGCGGTAAGTGCATCCGAATTTCAGCGTGATCGGCGTAGTGTAAACATTTTTCACAGTGCAAAATCAAGATTTCAACTTGATTAAATCAAGATTTGAAGAGTCCAGTAAGACCGTTAACATGAATGAAACGCGCTTAAAAGATAATGTCTGTTCCCGAAAAGTGCATCTTACGAAAACTACAGACTAAATTAAGGGGATACGAGAGATTGTCCCGACAGTTAATTTTGGAAGCTCGCCAGTGGTTGATATAAATCTGCAAGTGAGCGACCAAAATCAAGTGGTTGAAATATTTACGCGAGAGTCTAGACAGCAAATCACGCAAATAGTGGAATTAACGGATTCGGGGATCATTCGATAATTCCTGGATCTCCGAAGAAGATCCTTATTTAAAGTGTCACGCAGAATGTGGATTGATGCGAATAACAAAAGCTCCTGGAATCCCGCGCAACCTTTACCGATACACGTGCCCTTTTGCGGAAATCAGACGTCGACAGAACGGCGGCGGGATCAGCACTGAATTTTTCAGCGTGCTTAAACCAGAAATCCCTGGCTCGTCGAGCACCGAGTCAGTCGCGAGCTAGTAGCTCGATATCGATGCGCTCAGGCGTATCCATTAAATGGGTCGATATCGGCGGCAGCGCGCCATTGTAAATACGATACGTGAGCCACGAATCCTTACGATCGTCCGTACGCCAAACGCTGACAAAGGTCTTCAGAAAGCTCCTTCGTGCACTCCTCCTCTTTCCTCACCGCGATCCTTTCTACCTTTGCTACAGGAACGACTATCCCCCCCCCGCGCGCGCACACACACAGACGTCTCACCCGATCGTGAAACTCCGCGACGGTGTTTCATCGTGTTACGTGCTGATCTCGGTCGTTTTTCTTCTTACAACGGAATCAGTTTCCGCCGACAAGGCGACCGTAAAATTTAACGACGTTAATTCGGGACCTCGCCGGAATTCGTACCGCTATGAAACAGTCGTGTTCAAGTGTGTCGAGTATCCCATTCGGTTAAGTCGTACTTGCTAATTTGTCCGGTTTAGTTTTGGAATAGAATTTTAGCTGAAGTATCAAGAGTTCGATTTTAAGAGAAAAAAAGTCACACATTTAGAGCGTGCAATGTAAGAAATAATCTTTTACAACGGTCAATGTTCAGTACGTAAGTGTGCAGCGTAGGCACGCGCGCAGCGTAGGCGTCCATGGGAGATGAGTGTTCGTTTGAGAGCGGAGCTTTCGTCCTTCTCAGTGGGGGCAAAGTTCACGCTTCTCTTAGAACCTGACCTTCAGCCCATTGGAGATAGAATCTTAAAGGCGTGACTTTTTTCACGTTCTCAAGTGACAGATTTCCATTAAAAAGGAGCATTTTAGCCTCTGAACTTTTCAGAGCTCCAGACTGTGACGATTATTGCAAAAAATCTAGAAAGCAATTTAGACTTGAAACAATCGGAACTGCGCGCGACCTTTTCGACACGTTATTTGCCACATTTGAGATCGCGGCTCGAAACTCCCAATGAATGCAGCCGCACAAATGGTTTTCACACCGCCACACTTACTTGGAACAAATTGAGGAGATTCGGACGACGAAACGGACGAAAGTTTATTAGTTGCAACGGCGGGTTCGGGTTTGAATCCCGCGCGACAAGTAGTAATTTGTATTCGCAACAAGTTTCTCACGCCGGTAACGAAATATCGGGCACACACGCGCCTTTCGGCCGTGGCCCTAACAAGTTTACTTGTGCTCGCAGAATCGCGCTGAAATACGTTAATGACGAGGTAGCGAAAAAAAAAAAAAAACGCCGGCGGGGAGGAGAGAAAAAAAGAAAGAGAGCCTAAGGACGCGCCGTGCGCGCGGCTGTTTCGCTCAACGGGACGCGTCGCGCCATGACGTCGTGTGCAATTTGTACACAAAAGCAGCACGCGATATCTCAGAAATCGTGATAAAGCACGCCAATTTCGCTCGCGTGTTCGTTACGGGGTGCGAACACATGGGAAGCCCAAACGCGTCCCCAGGCACATACGTGGGAAGTCCTCGTTAACGCGGCGCGGTCGTTGCGTCGCGATGATTTTCATGTGTTTTTACTTTTGCCGCGTGATACGCGGACAGCGCCCGTAAAATTTGTAAGCCGGCAATTCCGTCTTATCAACGCCATCGGCATCTAATCATCGTATTTTCTGTTTCGCTTGTCTCGCTTAAAACAAAAGAAAGCGGCGAAATGAATAACCTGGATATATGTAATTGATAAAATACGGAAACTCTCTTCGCTTTCATTCGATATAGATAAAGCTCGGATAATTCTTTTAAATCACTACATTTGCCTGGATGTTTCTATTGCGTTGTTCCTCAAGCGAAACTCCAGCGTGGAAACCCGCGAACTGCTGGCACAACGAAATATGTCGGAACGGGCGGCGGAAGTACGTGTAAAGCGACGTGTTTGGCGCGAATCGAAATTGCGCGATTCGCGTTGCAGCGGAGTTTTCCTTTTTCTATCGGCCCGGCTGCAGTTCGCGTTTCCGCGCATATAAGGTTTCGCATGGCAATCGCGGGACGTATTATTATCCGTACACAAGTACGCTTTTTCCGCGCGAGTGTATGGCGGCACATTCAGCGCCCGCCCGCGCTCCGAAGAAATGTCTCCTTCAGCGATCGCGTTTTCTGCATGGCAACCACGCGTTGTGAT